ACCCTGCAGACCTGGATCCCTCCTGTACCTGCAGGTGGAGGTCTGAGCATAGCTACAAGCCCAGGAGCTTTTTGCAAGTTCTCAGGGAGTCCTTCGAGCGGGAGACTCCAGGAACACAGCAGTGGAGGGGGGAGGTTTTTATTATTGGAAGCGCAGGGTGAGCGGTGCCACATCCCTTCCTAACCACATGGCCTTGGGTGCTGCAGGTTGGGATGGTCAAAGTCAAAACCGCAACTACCCTAGTGGCCCTTCCACCTTACAGAGTAAGGCAGCGTCCTCCCCTTACCCACAGACACGAACAGCATGAGAGCACAAGTCTGCATTGGGCAGTGATGATTAACACTTCTATTGAGGCTTATATTGAAAGTAAGAGGTTCAAATACATTTCTGAAAAAGGATTTCATCTCATTCCACCTAAGTGGTGTGGATCACATATTTGGCTCCTCCTAAGAGGGTACCAGAAATCCACTGTGCCCTTTCTTGGGAAGAAAATGCAAAATGTTGTCATATATTTTATATGTAATATGAGTGCTCAAGTGCATCCTTGGCCTTGCCTACCTCACGCTGCACAGATTGTTTAAATCTTTTCAACACAAAACCTTTGCAGAAGCAGAGCTCCTCTGCTCGCAAGCATGCAAAGACTGTATTTATCAGAAGGGCATCGTATTTAATATAGCCCATCCCTTGCTAAGAAGTGAATGCAGTTGCTTCTCTCCAGAGGAAGGAGGAAGGATATGCCTGTCCCCATACAGGTGAGCTTTCTGGCCAGATGTGCATCTCCACATGCAAAATACAAAGGAGGCTGATGCACGCACAAACATGTGCATGTCTCATACCAAGGGGACTCCTCTGCTGCTGCAGCAGCCTCTAGCTCTCCTGCTGACTTGTTTTTGTAACATACTAAGAATATTTATTGCAGTAACTGTAGCTTGGGTGTTGGAACCAGTAACTGCTGCCATGACAGGAGGCACTTGCAGCTCTACCTGCTCTGCTAAAGGAGCTTTGCCCTCCAGGAAATATGGCAACAGCCAGAGAAAGGAAGAAGTGATTCCACTGCTCCCTGGGAGGGAGTATTAGGGTTTGGCAACTACTGGGTCACTGTTTTAATTTCCAAATGCAAAGGCAAGTTCTCTGTCCACCAATGAACAAGTGATCTCCCCTTTCAGGCCTTGGCTTAGAGAAACAGATCTGGACTCAAATCCCTGCTCTCAAAAGTCATAAAAGCTTGGAGACCCTTTCCAAGAGATGGAAAACATGAGCAGGGCCAGCCCTACACCCTTCAATGCACATTTAACACCAACCTTTGCAGGACAGGCAACAGGGCAGCCACTCTGGCACTGGCTGAGAACAGCCATATCCTCGCAGACCTCTTTTCAAGTGCCCTGAATCGCTGCAAACGTCTTCAGAAAGGCCTCAGGCAAAATTTCCCACCTGAAACTTGCATGAACCACTACTAACAACCCCTGTTTTAGCAGAAGGATTAGGGGATAAGATGCTTACAATGCTTTACTTACACTACCTTTAAGGTGAGCATCCATTATTTGACTCTCTGCTCTGGAGTAAACAATAAAAGTAAATGCAACCTGGGAGAATGAAGTGTTTTTCTCCATCTTTAACTCTTGCAGTCTTACATTGCCCACACACCAGCTCAGTTTATTCACTGGAATAAACTGCAACCCTTCATTACCCCAGCACATGGTAACACACAAGCGCGTGTGTCTGACACCGTCCCAGCTCTTGGGAAGCTGGTGACCCCCCTGACCACAGTGCTGTCCTACAGCAGGCACTATGGTCTAGTGACACGGAAACAGGTTGTCTTATACTAACAGCTTATTTATATCACATAAAGTAGAATTTGTACAGTACTTCACACCTTACAAAAACACACAGTCTTGCATTTAGCATGTTCTCCCATCAACTGTGATTGCAGTTGGCAGGTACACTCTAAAGGCTACAGGTGAAATCACGCAGGAAAATTGATTATTAATCAAAAGACAAAGCTGTTGCTCAGATTGATTTAGAGGAGTGTTGCAGGGAAAACACCCTTTGCTGCTATTTTGTGATTAGCAGGAAACCATTGACTGATATTTCACATCATTTGTGGGTGATACAGACACCACTATATTTTAGAACTTAGTCTTTTAGCCCATATGTTGTGCAGCCCTCATCCTTCCTTGTCCCTGGAAGAAGGGAGTCACAGTCTGTCTCTTAAACCCTGGACAGAAAGTTGAATACTTGTACATACCTCTCCACGACTGCAATTTTAAATTCCTCGTGTTGTTTAGGATGTCCCTTTCTTACAATCTCCTTCCTGACTCAGCAAGTGAGGAATTTTTGCCAACAGCTTTAACAAGAGAGATGGCTAACCATGTCAATTTTTAATGTACAATTCCAGATAAGAGGTTTTGTTACTTTCAGCTTTCAAACTTCAAAAATATAAACTCTCTAAAGTGCATAATTGTACTTACATTTCATATAAACTATCTGAAATTCTAGTAATAGGCATGTAAACAGCGGTAACTAAGCATCCAGAAAATGCTACAATCTCACCGGTTTCAAAATAAAATGGACTGTCACTACCTATCATTTATCAAGATTCGTCAGGGGCAAACCCCACCCGAACAGTTAATTTATCAGTACACAGTGCAAACAGGCTTTTAAAAAGTAAGTAGAGAAAACATATTTGTGGCAAGTCTTGGCCCACTGGAAGATGTATGACTGGAAAGGCAAGAACTGCTACTCGTGTCCTACCCAAAGATGTCTAGGCCGGGATTCAGCAAAGTGCTCCAAATTAACCAAACCCAAAGGGGGATGAGCTGGAGGCACGTGCTCTCCCCCTGCTTGGAGCACTTGGCTCAACTAGGCCTGGCCAGTACAAAACCAGGCCAGCAATAATGACTTTCTGGTAACCCACCATCCCACTCACCTACTAGCAGCAGCCGTGCGGGCTCAGGGGCCAAGCCTAGGGCAGCTGGAGCGAGCTGACCGCGGAGCCACACAGAAGTGACACCAGGCTGAGGGACAACAGCACAGCACTGGCTTTTCACACTGTCCTGCATGCAGAAAGGCATCTGCCCTGGCCAGGCTTCCTCCCAATCAGTCTATCATCTCCACAAGCAGTTTCCCACATTAGAGACCCCAGCTAATAACCTCTAAGAAGGAGAGTTCAGAGGCATCCCCCAAAGCATTGGAAACCTGGTGTCTCTTCAAACCAAGCTCTAGGGCAGCACACAAGTTCTCCAAATTCTTCAGAAATACAAAGTTCAGCATTCACTGATCTTATATACAAAGAGCAATTCTGCAATCAGCAGAGAACAGCACAGAAAGTCCTCCCCCTAAGCGCTTTCACTGCTGCCACTAACAAACGCACACCACTGCACGCACCCACTCAACACTACAGATGGGCATGTGTTAAAGCAGAAGGAAAAAGTTACCATTTGAAGAGCTTACAGGGTCCTGGGAGATCAAAATGCCATCAGCATCATTTTTAGCAAGAATTAACGTAGGGTATCAAATGGAGGGAAATGAGTCTAAGTAGCACAAAGTAGATGTAGTTGTGGGTGCGCATGCCCATAGGAGGAAGCAGGGGGAGAGGTTCTGGGAACTCGCCCCTCGTCACCTCTGGTATGGCGTACGCCAGGCCTGGCTATGACCAGTAGCACTGCACTTCACCGCAGCTTCCCACAGCAGCACATGAGCTCGCCCAGGGATTCACACAATGGACAGGATGGACAGAAACGCTCCCTGCCACACTAAGGTTGAGCCCTGCTCCCAGGAGTTGTATTTTCAGCCCTAATTCCGAGCCCTGGCTCTGCGCAGTGCGAATTTGTGCGTGCATGCTCGGGAGTGCAAGACAGAGCCCAGATGGCCCCACAGACCTTGGAGTTCCCAGCTACTTCACACATCTTTGAACTCCCTACCTTTTACTTCTCCATGCAACAACTGTCTGACGTTAAAGATCTGAACCAAGTGTCTATAGTTATCCCAAGACTTTCTTTCATGAAAGGCCTAAACAAATCTGAAAATAGGTAATGGCCAATCCCGCACCTGACACATTGACCACAGCATGGGCAGAACATGGTTCTTGGCTTTCAGTTCCCTGCAGTATCCTCGGCTCTCATATGCTAATATAAGCCAAAACCACCAGGCAGACGAGACTCTCTGGTGATTCCTGCAATCACAATGCCAGCACTGCACTCCACACAAGCCTGACTGACTGCATGCATCAAAGAACAAAATTTAGGCTGTCAAGTATGTGCCACATTCAGCTCAGGATCTTATGTTAGCATCAGATGACGAAGCCCATGGATTAATGGAGTCTCCCTCCCGGATACCTGATCCCAGAGATTTATTTGAGCGGCTACCAAAATCCCAGGGGATTTGGACTTGCAGCTGTTGAAACTTCTTTTCTTCTCCCAAACACAGTCATGTTACAGTATCACCTTCCCAGTGGATCAAGCAGGTGAGTACACTGCCAAACAGCTCGCTTCCTTTGCTATTCCCATCAGATGTAGGTACTTCATTCTACTGCAACTGAATTAGCAGTCAAAAAAGTGGGAAGAAAACCCAATTCAAGCCTTGGCAGAACTGTAACTCAAGCCAGCTCAGGTCTCTGACCAGGACAGTCTTCCAGCATTTATACGAGGTGACTGAAGATGCTGGACTTCAAATGGTCAGGTTAAAGGTTAGCTCAGACTTTTAATGTAGCCATGGAACAACAGTCTTAGTGCCATCTGACCTGTGCCTTCATGTTACATCAGTCAGGGTACTTGTCTGGTAAACTGAAGTGGAAGATATTTGATGACTTATTCACTATTCATCCTATTTTGCCTCTTGGTATGATATCCTGTGGAAAAAAAAATTAAAGCAAGTGTGGCTTTGATATTCTAAATATTACAGGACCTGTAAGCAAATCGAAATGGAAGGATCCCTTCAGTGCTGTTGCTGAGTGCAGCATCACATCTCCTACGCTTACAAATTCCATTTGGGCATCTGAGAGGACAATAGCAAGTCCCAAGAGTGATGGAAAGTCACCCTTCCTCCCCCTCCCAGCTCTGGAAATGGCCTTTTATTTCCCAGAGAGCTCCTCAGCCCTCCCCAGGCAGGCTCCTGCTGCATTTGCTTCATGCATTCATCCGTTTGGTGTGGTCTCTTTTCAGTTTACTGGCGAAAACAATCTCCTCCTTTACATGATCTTGGAGCTAATATCTCTTTTACTGATCAGGACCTCCAGCAGCCTCAGCTTGGCCTTAACCTGCTTGTATTCGTTGTATTCTTCTGCCATAGGAGTGCGATCTTCTTTCTGCACGTTCCTGGTGGGAGAGAGAGCCAGCCATGAGTCTTCCTGTACCTGCACAGCTCCCCTCAGCTCCCTCCCTCTGCCCCCACCAGCAGCCGACAGCCTTGCAGAGGAGCTCCCCTTCCTCCACACGGTACAAAATCAAAATATTTTTACTTTTTTTTTTTGGGGGGGGGGCAATAAAGTTGAGGGGGCACACATGCCACTCCAGTGAAATGGAGGATACCTATGTATTGAGACTGAGCACAACCTCACAGTTCAAAATGCAAAATCTTACTGGAAACGTGCTCTACTTCACTGCCTCTACAAAAGAGCAGAGAAAAAGAAAACAAACAAAAACCAAAACAAACAAACAACCCACAGCTCTTTCAGTTACAGGAACCAGCAGAGCAAAATAGAATATAGCTGCTTCCGCAGGGAACCACAGCAGTTTAATGAGTACACACATCTGTGAAAGGCAGCAAGATATTTGACCAGGTCAGATATGAGAGCTGATGTGAAACTGTCTCCAATTTTTAATGATTTCACAAGAACCTCTAAGGATGATGCTGGTGGCAAGAAGTTAACATGATAATTTAAAGAACACAAATATCTTAAAGCCTTTTATCAGGTCATTCATGAGGGACAATTTCTAAATACAAAACAGACACACAGCCACAGTTAAACACAGGAACCTGTTAAACCTGTGTCTAAATAGCAGGAATACGACAGAGATCTAAACATACTATATTCTTAGGGGAAAAAAAAAAAAGTTTCTTTTACCATGGAGCAACTCTTCCATCATTCTGATCAATTGTGCTGGAGGAAGCTAATTTCCTGCACTTACACCTATGCTTCCCACTGCTTGTCCCAGACAACTCTTACGAAGAGCTGTAATCCCTAAAGGTTTTTTTTTTAAAAAATACTGTAAGAAAATTACTGTAATTGGAACTGTAATGACTGTGGGTAAAACAATAATGATGTTGTTGAAATACGTATGACTGAATTCAGAGAGTTTTCCACATTTGCAACCCTCTCTAGATGCCAAACAGATTACGAGTAGCTGAAAGACAGAATGATAATTAAGAAATTATTACCTTCCATTTTGTCGGAAAAAATTATCTTCAAAGTCTCTCAATTTTTTTCTAATTCGCTTTTTCTCTTCCCTGACTTCTTGGAGCTGCTCTAACAGTTCAGGGCTGTTGGATTTAAATAAACAAGATCATATGAAAATACAGAATTATAGCTGGAAACACAGAGTAAATCTACAGTAATATGTTATTAATATGCTATAAATCTTATCCATACAATCTTATCAAATTTGCCTGAAAATTCAGCTTACATAGATGCTTCATGAAGATTTGAAAGCCCCATATCCTGGTTGCTTTTTGATGGTATCTTATCATCCACAGGGGAAACAAAGCCATCAGCATCATCTTCTAGTTGATCCAAGAAGCTACGTACGTTGAAATCTGTTTTCATGGTAATTGTGAACTCTGGTTTCAGATTGCTGTCCTCCTCGGACCCCTCCTCTTCTTCCTACAGAAGGGGACAGATCACGCCCACAACAGGAGAGGTTACTCATTCCTTGTCAGAAACAGGTACCTTCTTTCACCACATGCACTGGGGAACAGATACGAAAAGAAGTGGATAGGAGGAGCAAGCACTTGAACTGCTAAGCGGTGCAGTACACTAGAGTATCACCAGCAAGACTCTCTGTACCCAAAGCTTTTACTGGAAAAGCTCGTGTTGACCAGCTCACATTGATTAAGGAGACACAATGCAACAACACTGAGTGAAACCATAATCTGCAGTTCTTACCAGCCTATTGCTTTATTTAATCAATATATTCTGATGCAAGTAAAAACACTTTTAGATCAACAGTCACTATGCACAAAATCTAAAACAAACCTGCATCCTCTGCCTTTCCTTGCAAATGCACCTACCAGCAATGTAGTCACAATAACATGAGAGTTGTCAGGCTAAAATATGAAGCTTCCTCAGAAGATGCTGCCTAACAGCTCTCCCCAACGGGCACGTTTGAGGCCTCGGATGCTCATACAGTGATGCCAGTGAGTTCAGATCACTGTTTCAATGGTCCTGTGCAGGACACGGCACTGCTATGCCTAACTTGATCTGGAGATCCGTCACCTACCTGGAATACACTAAAGATTGGAGTGGAAAAACTGTCTGGTGCAATTTCCCCAAAGCACAATGATGAATTGGTCATACTTAAATATTTTCCAAAGTTTTCAGGCAAAACATTTGGAAGTGTCTCTGCAGCACTTGGTACTTGCTAATTCACAACGTTCGCAACATAGAGCTTGTCCTGGGACAATGTCCAGAAATCACTGGGATTTTCAGGGAACAGTGCCCAGTTTTCTCTCACTTAAAGAGACATTTTTTGAAGGCAGTTTTCAGCCTTAATATCAAGAATAAGGAATGAAAATTAGAAGAATACAGTAAACACTAGCAAGGACAAGTGTCTTTCTCAAGGACAAAAATAAAAAAAAAAAAGATTTTTATATCTATGCAACTCTAATGGGGGAGGATCTAAGCATATATATATGGCTTTAAAATCTTCTGATGGCTATTATCACAAAAATCATCAAGTATATGCCAAAATATAGTTACACGGGGATCCAAAGAAGCTCTCTTCTTTACTTTTCTTCTGCAGATTTCTTGCTAATAGTTCAATTAATCTTAAGAGATTTTTCCCTCATCTAAAGCCAAGACGCAAAAAGGAACACTGGGAGTCGGTGGCATTTAAAGGCACTCCCATTAAATCCTCAAAGTCAATGATTTGTAAGTGCACACATTAGCATGAGGCCAGAGCTTGCCCAGAGTTTCCTCCTTGCCACAGAGCTCTGGGCCACAAAATGTAATGCAAAGCCACAGGCTGAGAATTGCAGCCGAGACGGAGGCTTGAGGAGGAAGAAAAGATGAGCTGGAAAAAAAAGAATCTCTGAATAGTAACAACAACAACAACAACAACAAAAAGATACAAAGAGGTTTGAAAACATCTTAGGAAAATCTGTAGGGAACTGGTGGGAGTTAAAGCAATATTTAGCATATGATCCATTTCTCCAAAAGTAAACCACATAGCTACAGTAGAAGGCATAAAGCTGAGCCTTTCAAGAGACCCGCTGGTGCTGTGACTGCAGTCACGTACTATTTTAAACCCTGCAGACGATGTCAGGTTGGGTCACAGCCATTTGCAGCCCCTGACGCTGCCTGCCCTGCACAGCAGCGAGGACCAAGGCAGGAGAGCACCACTGCTGTGTAGATGAGGGGAAGGATTTGCTAGTTGTCCTAGCTGGTAAAAATTGTGCACTTCCCTTTTAGGGAAATCTCTGGGGCTGCAAAGCAGGAGCTCCTGTGTGGTGCAACCAGCAGCTCACAGAGAGAGGCAAAGTCTCTGTGCTAGTTCAATCTGTGCATGCGGCAGCAGCCTCCTCCCCGCAGACACCCGTGTGCGCGGGGCAGCTGGTGAGGGCTGCTAGGACAGGGCACGCGCTGGCCTCGCTCCAGAGCCACGTGCACGGGCTGGCTGCCCGAGCCAGGAGCTCTGTGGCCCGCGGCTCAGGAATGCGCCTCCCGCCAAATGGGAGCCCATGGGAGGAAAAAGCAGTGTATCACTCATCCAGACCTCAGTGCCAAATACTACATCGGCTGCCTTTCCTTCTCAGAGGAGGAAGACCCAGTAGTGTCACAGCAGTCTGCAGCACTGAGAACCCCACAGCAGCCCAAGGAAGGAACGTAATGATCCTGTCATCCAAACCTGACCGTGCGTTAACTAACAGAACTGAGTTGTTCTTACTCCAGTCCTAGTGCTGCCCGTTTTAGAAATACCACTTACAAGGTGGGAGAAAAGAGCCCTGGATAAAACAAGCATGTGAATGGGAGAAGATACGGATCCCAAAAGTTCCCTGGTTGGCTCCACGCGCAAGTGTTAGTTCTGTGAGAGCTCATTCCCATTCCAGCCATGGTGCTGTGTGCAAGCCACAGAGCTTTGGAGTGAGAGAAACTACCACAAAACAAGTTAGCATTATTAAAAAGAAAGAAAAACAACAAGATGCAACAGGTAATTGTGAGTCTTTGGCAAAATAAAATGTATTATGTGCAGGAGGCGGGGGGAACGAGAAGGAAGGGAAAGAATGCAAAGCCACAGAAATACTGTAGTCTGATCTACAACAACAGAGGGAAGAATTTATTCAGAACTGGCGAGGCTTAAAGCAGCTACTGATTTTTCAGGAAGACACTGCAAAAAATCAACACTGATGGAAAAAAACAATCGATCAATCAACCATTCTCTTTCATTGGTAGGAGGGGAGAACTGATGCAAACTGAGCAATTAGTTAGCAGCTGGAGGTCTTCACCTTTATCTCCTTGAAGAAGGAAGCTGTTTCGCCCTCGATAATTGGCTGCAGCAAAGGGCTTCTCCGCTTGCTGGAGGGGGAACCCTGTGACAGGTGTTAACAAGTATGTTACATTATGAACCCTTTCTCCTCCACAGCCTGCTCTCCTACTCAGCTCTCAGCTCATTCTCACTCACTTACACTCTCTCAGCTCATGGCCAGACCATCAAGAGAAATCTATTTCTTAAAGAAGAAAAATATTCTTGGCAAACCCCTCCAAGCTTGGACTGTTTTCTCTCAAGATGTTGCTTAGCAAGGGACTTCAGTGCCAAACGTGTAAGCGAAATGTCTGCTGCTGGAATACTAGCTGGGCAGGAACTACAAAGTAAAGGCTGCAAGAAAATAACCCATAGCCCGAGACACACACACAAGACTTGGTTGGCTCTGCACGTGTATGGTGTACACCCAGCTAAACTCTCCAGGCCTGCTTTCCAGGAGCCTCATTTCCCACTAAAGTGCCTCAAGACTTGGATTAGGGAAAACTATTTTCCTCTACTAGCCACTGTGAGAGTTCAATTTTGTCTCTAAACTGGATTTGAGCTCACTTCTGAGAGCTCTACCTTAAATTGCCCGTGCAGAGCTGGAGGGTTTCTTCCTTCTGACTGCCAAAGGCTGTCTTCACAGCACACCCTGGGGAGTATTTTGCATACTCAAAGAACAGCTTTTTGTTTTGTTTTAAATGCAGGACCACCTCCCACTATGTGCAGAAAAATGCACTTCTCTGTGTGTCTGACTGCACTGAGTAATGCTGTGCCAGTCCATTCACTTCAGCGGGCAGTCTACAAAAATCAGCACCCAGTACTTGAGTGCTGCCTGGTAACTGCAAAAGAGTAAGGGATCATACATGACAGACAAAGCAAGCAGCAACCAAGATAAAACAATTCTCTTTCTACAGACAGGTTGAAAGGATTCTCTACATAGTTTTTAGTCAAATGTATATTTTTAAAAGTGTTGTACACAAGTTGTCTAAAATTTGAGATTTTTTGCTCACTAGAGGGATTCACTGGTTTCCCTGCTAGTGTCACACCCTCCTTGCCAGAGCATCATCCCAAATAAGGAAATGTCAAATAAGGAAATGCCACTTGCAGCAACTCTTTAATACAAGTCAAGTGCTCAGAGGCTGCTGGCACCTTCTTTCAGCCAAATGGAATCTCACCCGCTGTAGGACCCACACAAGTCTATGAAAATACAACATTTTATCATGTGTAACCAACAAACATGAAGGCCTACAGCTCGAGGGTAGCCTGGTAAGGAAAGGGAAGGGAGGCTGTAGCCAAACACAGAGTGATAAAATAGCAGCAGCCCAATGGAAAAGAGGAGAAACAATATGAGGTGAGATGGGCCCCATGACTCACCAGTAGGCACTAGAGTCCCTTGACCAGCTTCACCCTTGGCTGGCTTAATCTGGAATGTCAACAGTTCACTCTTATTTACTTAATCTTTGGGTGATAAGGGAGTTTGGGAGTTGGCCTCTGTGACTCTGCTGTATGCAAAGGTGTGGTGAATGCCCTGTTTTCTAACCCCAAACCAAAAAAAGAAAAAATAGCTGCTAGGAGAATTTTCTACTCACAATAATAGGAATAGTGTTGGCTCTGGAGAGGATCTGTTTGACCAAGCGATATCTGTCATATAATGGCTTCATCACCTGTCGTTCATTTTTGGTTACCTGGAAAGGAATAAGAAATAAGATCCATGAAACAAACCTGCAGCAGAGAGTCCACTCCCTAATGCATTTTCCTGTAATCACTCTTAGTCAGAGGGAACTTCTAGGGAATTTTACAAGGACAACAGTCCAGTAGCAAGGACATGGAGATTGGAATTGTGGGTGCTCCTCATCCAGTGCTCAGGAGCTCAGGAACACCCATGCTGCAGGTGTCTTGCAAAGTGGCTGTGTGAGACAGAAGATTTAAAAAAAAAAAAAAAAACAGCTTAGGTATCATGTGTACACTGCACAAAACCAGCTATAGAGCCACTAGTCCGTGCTTTTAAACATGTCTGGCATTGTCAGGCACAACATGAGGTTTCCCACACTCATTCTTGTGACAGAGATGTCAGAGGCACCATTTATGACCCAGGAAATGAGAAAGAAGCTGCAATAAATGTCTTTCTCCCCAGGGAGGCTTTCCCAGGGTAGATTAACCTACCAACTTCACAAAAGTCACAAAATCTCTCTCTCCTACTTCTTTCCTCCTTTTAATTTCCTCTCAAAGCTAGCAGTTCATTTAAGCTGCTTACCTTTTCCTTCCACCTTTCCTCCAAGCAACTTTGCTGGAAGAACAGCTACCCTGGAGCTGAGATAGGATGAAGGTATCAGGGTTGCATGGCAAAGAAGAGACAGCATAGCACTATGCTGCCCACCTCAAACCTTCCTTGCATTGCTCTGACCCTAGGTCCCATCCTCCTAGCTGTACACTGCACTCTCTGCCTCAGTTTGAGAACTGCTATTCAAAGCTTCTGTCATTGATTCAACTCTAAACTAAGCAGAAAATCTCAGTGGTACTGAAAGTGCAGAAGAGATGACCTAATCTCATAGCAAACAATAGCCAGTGTGGGAAAGTAAAAGTTTGTCCAACTAAGAACTAGTAGTAACGAAGTGGGGCTGTATCTTGGTAGAAGGGCTGGAAAACAAACAAAACATTCAGCAGAACCAAACTGATCATCCTCCTCCTTTGTATTTGGCATTGTTTGACCTACATCTAGGGACTGTCCTTCCACTAGATCTTTTGTTTATCTTGAGATTATAAAACTCTTAAAAGAGCAATCTTTAACCGATTCTGATGAAATTCCTTCCTTCCTCCCTCAAACCTTTTAACTGCTGCTAATCACCAGAGCATCTGAAGAGCTGCCATGCAAAAATCAGCGTCGCCAGCGCAACCCTTAGAGAGCTTTTACAGCCTTGCTTTCTGCAACAGAAAGAGGAGAGAGGGTGATTTGGAAGTTGCATCATCATGACTCTGTTTCTTACTTCAGGAAGACCTGGATAGGGAGGAACAGAAGGAAAACTTTTTGTTCCTAATTAGATTCAGTGGAAACATCCCCAAGTCTGAGATAGTGTATTCAGATCAACAATCTAAACTCTAGATCCTGTGTGACTTAAGACCTCCAAAGAGCAGCCTGGCTTCAACAACCCTGAATGGGACAGAACAGAGAACAAGCAACTCGTGTTGATGAGCCACATATGACCAGCAGCACACAATCCCCTCAGCACTCTCTGCACTGAGTTTTGTGCTAAGTGTCTGCATCAATCATACTGACTAGCAAGCTGTCTCAAACATTTTTTTTTTTCAACCAATTAACCTTAATCAGGTACAAAACGAAAAATAGGCTGGCCTATTGGCTCCTATCATTCCTAGCTTTGCTATGTTAGGAGCTAGTATAACATAAGGCATAGCATTAATGTTGGCTCAGGTGGTCAGGAGGTTGAGAACCAAACCTTTAGTTACTGACACTTCAAAGAAGATAAAGATCCCTGTTCTGTATAGAAAGAAAGAAAAGAGAAAAACCACAACCACTCAAAAAAAAAAAAAGCCTTGAAATGGGCAAAAAAAAATCCTATGTGTGCTGGGAAATGGAAAAATACATGACAGGCTTCAGAGTCTGGACATCACTATGTAGCAACATGACAAAGAATTAATTTAGGCATCAAAGGTGTCTCTGCTGGAGTAGGGGGGTTGCACTAGATGATCTCTAGAGGTCCCTTCCAACCTCAACCATTCTCTGATTCTGTGAAGGCAACTTTATGGGCCTCAGTCAGCCACACAGCACATTTAAACAGAAAGTAGACTCTGAGGGAAAACGTTTTGCACATGGGCAAAGTGTCTCACTAGGTAAACATAAATAATACCAGTGAAATCTGAGTATATTTTGGAAGAACATCAAAAAGCAAAAAACCTGCTAGAAAAACGAAGCCTTTGACACAACCCGGGGCCACACTCCATATGGCAAACAGCAGCAGCCAAGGAAGAGACCATTGCTCGCATTGTTTGAGCGGCTTGAAAACTTCCTCAGGGACAGATCTTTTGGCTTAACTAAACCGGTTCAGTTCCACCTCTGCAGGTTCATCTATCACTGGTGCAGAAAGACCCAGTTGCACAATAAATCCAAGCTCCATTGTTTTTCTTGTTTAGTTAAATATCTTAAAAAAATACTTGGCTGAACTACCTCCATTCTCCTTAAGCTCTCAGTACTTTTCCACTGCTGCAATGCCAGGAGCTGGAAGCAGCAAAAGCTCATCAGCTGCAGTCTTCCTTGCCATGTGGTTCAGTGTTGCTAGCTATAGATAGCTTACTTAAAAGCAAATACATTAAAAAGCAGTTGTAGTAATAAAGTCTCTGAAAGGAAAGGCAAAAAAAAAAAAAAAAAGGCTATGCTGATAAGCTGCGCTCTGGGCTTGCTTGCTGTCTTTTTAAACAGATGTAAATGAGTTTACTTCATTGAGATGCCACCTTTACATGACTGTAAAAGCAGCAAAAACAGGCTTGGACTCTCTGCTAGGGAAGATAGGGAAGATTAAGGGGATTCTCTTGTATTGGCCTTTTGCTGTTTTACACATTGATAAAACTGTACGTCCTCTCACACAGCCACACTATTTTCACCTGCTGGCATATGTGTATGTATAGATATTAGTACTGCACTGTGCTGCTGTACATACCGGTCTGCCATGAATGCTTTCATAGTACAGCAGGGCTTTCTGAAGAGCCACTTTCTCAGCTGCTATCTGATCTCTTGTCATGTCCTGTAAACATAGAGAGAGGAGGAGGAAAAAAAGTTAGATTCCTAGATTCAAACAGTACCCAGGTCATCCTATCTTGTCATTAATGTTTGCAAGACTCACCACTTCTTTTCAGTCTCCTTTTCTCAGTTATATGTCTGCACATACTGTTATTTTGCACAGTGACAGAAGATTAAACCCCCAAAAAGATCTGGACAAGGTAGATATGTTGTATGAATGTAGGGGATTTATCAATTTTAAGTGTGGCATGACCCTATCATGCAGTTTTTAGCTGTAGTGATTGTTTTTCACTTAAGAAAGCCTGCAGCTTAAGTCCTGCAATGAAATCCATGTTCTTTATCTCTTGCAAAGTTTGCTGTCTTTACTTTGATTGTCATAAACACACTTAACTAAGAAGTCAAGTGCAGTCAAACCATCTCCTTCCAATTCCACTGTGGAGTGACAAGCTCTGGCAGACAGGCTGGGGAGACCAAGCCAAAAAAAGGGCAGACTGATTCAGGAGATCTCCCTAACTAAGTTTTCCAGAGCTCCTCCGCTGAACATTGCCTCCCTATCACTGCCCCTTACATTATCACAGACCATCTTTAAAAGGCCATGTGGTGAATTCTTACTACTGCTGCAAAACTGCGAAACATACTGTGTATCTCCTTGTTCTGCAAACCTAGTAAATAAAGATAATAATGTCTGCCCCTCTCTTACAAAGCACTGCACAATTTACATGTCAGTAGGCTCAAGGACTTCATTTACAAGGCTACCAACAACTTGGGAACTACAGCATCAGTCACAGGGGGGTCTCTGCTGCTAAATCTCAGCGATTACAGAAGCTAACAGGACTCAACATAAAACTCAGAAGACTCAATATAAAACTCAGTGATAAAATGCCCTGGACAAGAGCATTCAGCTTTGGAGTGAACCAAAAGAAAACAGATGTCCTAATCTCTGAAATGATTGGAAGAATCAAAATTTGCCAAAGCTTTTGGACATAACAGAAATATTCAAACCTAAACACAAGGTGCCAGCATCCAGAAATGTTGCTCGGAATCTGTGACAATCAGATCAGTAAGAAAGCACAATGACATTCGGTAGAAAGAGAGCTCTAGGAAAATAAATCACATAGATTAAGACAGAGGGAAAGAAATAAAAGCAAGTCAAGCAGGAATAACTGTTGTGGACTTAGTGTCAAAACCTAAAAGACTTTCACAAATGACTGTGCAGCCACGTGCTCCGCACTTATATGTAGAAGTCAAAATCTCATCTGCAGGCATCGTACCTTAATATCTTCAGGTCGGTTTGTGTCTGCTCGTTTTTCTTGAAGCTTCTTCTGGATAGAGTCAAGGGTCACTTCCACAGCAGGCTTGGCTGATTTATCTGACAGATCTTGCTTCTTGTCGTCTTCTTTTTCGAGCTGAGAACCAAAGCTCTTGGGGAGTGTGTTGCTCCGCTGACGCACCACAGGAGCAAGATCTTCCTCCGATATCTTCAGTTTTGACTCTGAAGGAGAGATTTTGACAAAAGAGAATTTATTTTTCTCTTTTAAAATGTGCCTTCGGTGACAGGATCGCTGCCAAACATCCCATTAAGTGATGGCAACTCCAGCCCAGAAGGTATCCCCACAGGTGGCTGCTCACCTTTAAGTTGCTTTCGGAATTTGGCTAAGTCATTTGTCCATTTAAGCACTTCAGGGTTGGCTGCTTTGTCACTGTGGGAAGGCTGCGAGGAAAGAATAGCCATGGTGAATCTGTGCTAAACCATCAGCAGAGACCACTGACATAGACGCCTGTCACGAAGATGTACAGCAGAGTTTGGACCCACAACACAGCGAAGACGCTGCCTTCTGACTGCTACTTGCACGACTATTACCAGCTCACCTCAGACCTTGCTTCGATTGCCCTGCCTCTCACAACACCATCTCTTAGGGCCACTTCGACATTGATTTCTGTTGTAAAACACTAAACTTCTGAAGACAAAATTCAAATACTATGTTTCAAGAGGGCCTCAGAGGGCCTGATTCATTCTGTCCCTGGTCTACTTCTTGCTACCATGTAGGCATCCCAAAATAGGAGAAATCCCACACAAGAGGTTTGAGGAGAGCCAAGATGTATGTATTCATACTGAAGGTTGTCTCCAAAAACAAATAATCCAAATGCTTGGGCTAAGAGAGCTCTGCACATTTCATTCAGCCTTTCTCAACTGCAGCATTATCCTTTGTGACTTAGTTCACCAGCAAACATGCACAGATGTGAAGCTTTACTTCCTTAAAAAGCTTTCTGTGCATCAGAAGGGCATGTCAGGAATAATTAGAGTACAGTACACTGCTGCTGCTCAGTAGCATTTGACTGTGGTTCCTCACACAGGAGCAAAGGCGTCTGTTCTCCTCTCTTCCTTTGAGATGCTCTGGTGTCCTGGGATTACTGTCAGGGAGGCTTATGCAAATGAGACCTGCAGTTGTGCTTCCCAGCAGCCAAACTTCCAGTAAACAAACAAACGAGAAGTTTAGCATGGCTGTTCCCACACTGTAAGATATTGGCTCTTAGAACACTATCTAAATCAGTGAGCAAAATTTTATGAGTTCATTAGGCTATTTCTCATGCTGCACTGACAGCACACACTACTTGGGAAGGGCTGGCAGGCTTTTAGTTTGTTAGGCAAAACACATTTTTTTCTCAAAAAAAGTCCAGCTCTGTGTATATGTTTGACAGCATTCCGTGATGTCCTTTGCCTCTGGCTAATCCACACCAGCGCTTAACTCCTAAACACTCACTCTGTATTTCCTCTCCTCTTCAAATTTGTCCTCAAACTTCCTGATCTTTTTCTTCAGTCCCTGAATCCTCCGGGTCAACTGTGCAGGGGTCAGGTCCTCTCTGTCATCTTCATAAGATCCCAAGGACGAACTCCGCCTCCTACCAAGAGCAGAGATGGCAGTAAGAATTTATTCAGTATCTTTTCATGTGCAGAAGGCCAGTTACACTTTGGGTAAGTAAGGGCAAATCCCATCCAAGTGAGAAAACTATGCTGCTGCTCTCTAATGACAGCGCAACAGGATACTACATTAAGACGATAATAGCCTCTTTTGGTGACAGGAACTCCCTAGATATTAATTCACAAGCCCAGAAACCATGGGAGTTACTGAAAACTTTTATAAAAATTATAAACTGTCTGGTGGTAGGAACAGGATCCCAGTAGAACTCACCTCATGAATGAATGGGAATTGGGAGGGGAAGGAGGCACTTCTGTATCATCCAGGTATTGTTGGCTCTGTCCATAGGCGTAGAAACGAGGGGACAGCATCGGATCACTGTCCTCATCCAGAAGCTGGCGAATTAAACGGCCAGCCTG